TCAGAAGTTCCTGAAAGGTAAAAGGGCGAAATGAACCTTGAACTGAATTACAACTTTTGGAACCGTTTTTACAGAAACACCGTAAAATAAAACAAACTTCTGCCCCAGTTTTGGAGTATTGGGAATATGGATTTTTTGTTCTGATGGGACCGAACCCAGGGTAAGGCTGCCTACGTATCCTTTCGGAATCAGGTCGGACGCAGTTCAATGACTCCGAAGCTTTGTCGTTTGACTTTTTTTTTACAAGTACACAAGTTCCAGAAGGTGCAAAACAAAGAAGACAAATACGGCTCAAAAGGGTTAACAAAAGAGTGACCCCTATTTGGAATAGCGAGCAAATGATAGCCTTTGTCATCTCGATCTAAGAAAATTAATGCATGAAAGTTCTACAGTGGCCATATATCAGACATAATATCTTTTGACTGCATCTGCATTAATAGTCATGTCTGGTACCCGTCCTTCTTCATCTACCAAGTGCAAGGCCCCTTTTGGTAACACTTTCTTGATGATGTAGGGTCCTTGCCAGTTCGGTGCGAACTTTCCTTTAGCTTCAACCTGGTGCGGAAGGATGCGTTTCAAAACTATCTGGCCTACCTCAAACTGCCTTGGGCGCACTTTCTTATTGTAAGCGCATGTCGTTCTTTGCTGGTATAACTGGCCGAAACACACTACTGCTAGCCGTTTTTCATTGATCAACATTAGTTGTTCTAATCGAGTCTTGACCCACTCAGTGTCTTCAATCTCCGATTCCATAATAACTCGAAGAGAGGGAATTTCGACTTCAGCGGGTATTACAACTTCAGTTCCATATACAAGCAGATACGGAGTTGCACCAACAGATGTGCGAACAGTCGTGCGGTATCCCAAAAGAGCAAAAGGCAACTTTTCATGCCATTGCTGGAACCTTGGATCGTTTTCCTAAGAATCTTCTTGATGTTCTTGTTTGTCGCTTCAACGGCTCCATTGGCTTTTGGTCGGTAAGGGATAGAATGGCAATGCAAAGCGACATTTAGATTGGATGCATTATCAGTGATAATGGTTTTTGGGATACCAAAGCGACAGATGATGTTGGAATGGACAAAGTCTACCACTGCTTTCTTGGTTACTGCTTTGAAAGTGACGGCCTCCACCCACTTGGTGAAATAATCAATTGCAACCAAAATGAATCTATGCCCATTTGAAGCCTTTGGCTCGATTGGCCCAATAACATCCATTCCCCAAGCAACGAAAGGCCAAGGAGAGGACATGGGATGCAACTCCGAAGGAGGCGAGTGAATCAGGTCACCATGAATCTGGCATTGGTGACACTTGCGAACAAATCTGAAGCAATCTCGCTCCATAGTAAGCCAATAATACCCTGCCCGCAGAATCTTCTTCGCCAAAACATATCCATTCATGTGAGGTCCACATATCCCCGAATGCACTTCGCTCATGATCCGCTCTGCTTCTGTAGCATCTATGCATCTCAACAAGTTTAAATCTGGGGTCCTCTTGTACATAATTTCCCCATTCAAAAAGAAACCACTGGAGAGCCGCCTTATAGTTCTTTTTTTATCTCCTTTGGCATGCTCTTGATATTCTCTTATTTTCAGGAATAGTTTTATGTCATGATACTATGGTTCACCATCTGGTTCTGTCTCAATTGTATTTCAGTAACCGTGTTGATTCCGAACTTGGATTTCTAGTGGATCAATATGAGTGTTGCCTGAATAAGGGAGCATCGAGGCTAAAGTAGCCAAGGCATCGGCTAGCTTGTTGTAAAACTTGGAATGTACCTGAACTCGATGGATCTAAATCTTTTGCTCAAGTCTTGCACACCTTTTTTGTACGAATAAGCTTGATGTCTCGAGTCTCCCATTCGTCTTGGGCTTGCCGGATCAGCAAGTTGGAATCTCCCATAACCAATAGTTCATGCACATCCAGATCGATGGCCATTTTCAGACCCATGATACAAGCTTCGTATTCTGCCGTATTATTGGTACAGAAGAACCGAAGTCGGGCTGTTGCAGGGTAATGATGTCCAATAGGTGAGATGAGGATTGCCCCAATCCCAACTCCTTTGATATTGACAGCCCCATCAAAATACATTTTCCATACAGGGTTATCGTCTGGAACTACTTCCTCTATTGAGTTGGCCTCTTCATCTGGGTAGTATGTGCTAAGTGGCATGTACTCATTATCAACTGGATTCTCTGCCAAAGCCTGTGCTTTCATCGCGGTGCGAGTGACAGACGATGTCGAATTTTGTGAGTAGGATTTGCTATTTTGCGAGCCTGCCAGTGGGCATTGGCTTTTGGAAGATGTACTTCAAAGGATCCATTCTGGATATGAGGTAAGTAGTGTAGGCCAAAAGATAATGTCTCAGCTTCTGAGCGACCCAAGTCAAGGCACAACATGTCCTTTCTAAAAGGGTGTACTTAACCTCATAATTGGTGAACTTCTTGCTCAAATAATAGATTTGCCTGTTGCATCATGTTGCCCCAGAACGCATCCAAAGGAATTATCCATCACCGATAGATATAAAAACAAAGGCCTACCAGGTTCAGGCGGGACCAGTACAGGGGGTTTTGACAGATAATCTTTGATCCTGTCAAAAGCTTTTTGGCAATCGTCTGTCCACCTGATAGCGGCATCCTTTTTCAGCAACTTAAAGATGGGCTCGCATGTGGTTGTGAGCTGAGCAATGAACCTACTGATGTAGTTCAGCCTCCCGAGCAAACTCATGACTTCCTTTTTGTTCTTCGGGGGTGGAAGATCTCGAATGGACTTTATCTTTGATGGATCCAATTCGATGCCTCTCCGCCTGACTATAAAACCGAGGAGTTTCCCAGATGGAACCCCAAATGCACACTTGGCTGGATTAAGCTTAAGGTCATACCTTTGAAGCCGTTCGAAGAACTTTTTCAAATCACACACGTGATCAGCTTGTGTCTTTGATTTTATGATAACATCATCGACATATACTTCAATCTCTTTGTGCATCATGTCGTGAAAGATGGTGGTCATGGCCCTCATGTAGGTTGCCCCTGCATTGTTTAAACCGAATGGCATGACCCTGTAACAATAAGTACCCTATGGCGTGGTGAACGTGGTCTTTTTTGCATCATCCTCATCCATTAGAATTTGGTGGTACCCAGCATAGCAATCCACGAACGATTGTATCTCATGTTTTGCGCAATTATCTACAAGAATGTGGATTTGGCAAAGGAAAATTATCCTTTGGACTTGCTTTGTTCAGGTCCCTATAGTCGACACAAACTCTGGTTTTTCCATCCTTCTTTGGCACAGGCACAACATTTGCCACCCAGGTGGTGTATCGGACAGCTCTGACCACATTGGCGCTTAGTTGCTTCATTATTTCCTCTTTGATTTTGTCACTCATGTCTGTTTTAAATTTTTGTTGCTTTTGTTGGACTGGTGGAAAACCAGGATACGTAGGAAGCTTATGAACCACTAGATCAGCACTTAAACCCGGCATATCATCGTAAGACCAAGCAAACACATCTTTGTATTCAAATAAAAGTAGAATCAAGGCATCTCTGGTTTTTTGTTCAGTGTGAATGCTTATCTTCGTTTCTCTAACTTCTTCATGACTTCCGATATTAATTGGCTCAGTTTCATTGAGGTTGGGCTTAGGCTTATTTTCAAATTGTTCCAACTCTCTTTTTATTTCCTCGACAACCTCATCTCCATCATATTCAACCTCTTGATGCATTATTTCGATATTAGATAGCTTTTTAAGATCTGGGCGTGAATTCCGCATGCATGTCATGTTATTAAAGCCGGAATTAACAGAACTGAAATGGAAATAAAATGACAGGAATTAGGAAAAGGAAAAGATACAAAACTTAATAGGAAACTGAACTGCATTTCATTGAATTCGAAAGGATAGAAGGGTTAACATCAAAACAAAACAATCATACTGAGATGTTTGGATTACAACCCTGAAAGTAACCCAAAATACAAAAAGAAGCTGCAAAAGCAAACTACCAAGACTCCTTCCTTGTGGGGAGAGGAGTTGCTTCCCAGTTGTTGAGCATGGTGTCAAGGCCAATTAGTTGCATATAGGCACAACTAGTGCCTTCACCAGCCTGGATCATATTCACTTAAGAAAACATCTGGCTGAGGCCATGGCAAATTTCATCAATGTTTGCATGCGCCGAGGAATTTTTACCCTCTTAGAGTCGTGGCTTGACAAAAGTGTAGAAAATATGAGGGATAGGTTGTTGCAAGACCCATCCATGCTTTTTGCGGTGCTTGGCTATGTTTTGTCTACTTGTGTTGGCCTAAAGCATAAGCCAAAAGTACCCTAGTTACTAAACGGGGAAATAGGCTCCGAAATTCCTTGCAATGATACCCCCAAGCCTTTTCCTGGCTCATAACCTTGTCTCAACATAACTGTAGCCACCATTACAGATGTGGCGGAAAGACGAGGATGCAGAATGGGCATTCCTTCTTCAACATGGTCCATAGCAACCACTTCAAACGCCTGATAGACAATGGACTCACACCCTTCCTTGACCTCAATACAGGGGATTAAAGGGTCTTTATAAATGGAAGACTCGTCTTCCCCGTGAACAATAATTTCTTGCCTATCATGTTTGAATTTGAGCATCTGATGCAAGGTGGATGGCACAGCTCGGGCCGTATGGATCCATGGCCTTCCAAGAAGAAAGTTATAAGAAGTGGCCATGTCCACTACTTGGAAGACAATTTCAAAGTCAACCGGCCTAATCGTCATGGTGAGATTGATCTCCCAAATGGTATCTCTTGCTGAGCCATCAAAAGCTCGGATGTGAACATTGCTGGGTCAGATTCTGTCTGTATTGATCTCCATGCTTTGCAATGTAGAGAGAGGGCATACATCTACACTTGAGCCTCCATCAACCATGACTCGCTTTACATAATGCCCCTCACATTTGACCATCAAGTTCAAAGCCCTATTGTGCCTGGCTCTCTCCTCGGGAAGTTCATCATCAGTAAAGGAGATTCTGTTCACCTCAAAAAATCTGTTGGCCATCTTCTCTAACTGATTCACTGTGGTCTCCTCTGAGATATGTGCCTCGTTCAGGACCCTGATTAGTACACGGGCATGCTCTTTGGAATGTATGAGCAGAGATAGTAGAGAGATTTGTGCAGGTAGTCTTTCTTAGCTGGTCAATGATTGAGTAATCCTGAACTTTCATCTTTTTCAAAAACTCTTCCACATCTGCTTCAGTGACTGGCTTCTTTATTGGCAAATGGCCTTCTCTAATTTGCTTGGCCTTCCTCAACTCTTCTGGAGAGTAACATCTCCCTGATCGAGTAAAACCTCCAGTTTCCCCCACTTCCTCCATGATTTCCTTGCCTTTGTAGGTCTTCACCGTTTTGTTGTAGTTCCAAGGAGTGGTTTTTGTGTTGGTTACAGGGAGTTGCACGGCAGGTTTGATTACGATCGGCTCTGTTATACCTTTCGTACCTCCCTGCTTCTCCCTTTTGACGGGATGGCCTCCAAGTACATATAACCTTGGGCTTGGAACACTAGACTGAACTTCCAACCTCGAGATCTTTGGAACAAATAAAGTTGCCTTATTTGAGTTCTGGGCGCCTTTCACAATCAATGGCACATCTTGGCTGGGACTTACTTCCAGACCTGCTCCTTCTTGAATTGCACCCACTGTCATTTCTGCTAGACCGACCGGCTTGTATTCTTGGTGTCGGCCAATCATTCCCACAAAATGAACATCATTGTGTGCTGGCAACGGATTATTTGTCACGTTAGGAGGGTCCTCGCCATTCGTCACTACAATTAGTTTTTCGAAAATGAGTCTCTCTATGGCTCTTTTCAGAGTCCAACAGTTATCAGTGCTTTGCCCTGGGGCACCGGAATGATATTCGCATCTAGCATTTGCTTGAAATCCATGCGAATCAGGATGCATATGGTGGGGAGCGATGGGTCCAATTACGCCCATTTGCTTCAGCTTCTGGAATAGACTAGAATATGATTCAGCCAATGGAGTGAATTTTTCTACCGGCCTCTGCTCTCGACCATAATCCTGCCTGGGACGAGCATTGTAGGGTGCCCGAAAATTTTGCTGTTGAGGTCGGGGGGCCCTTGGAGCTGGTGCCCGTACCTGCTGAGTAAGAGGCCGAGCATATGGTTGAGCATTGAACACTGTATATTGTGGTGGGCCCACAGAGTATTGAGGAATTGGCGGGGGATAATAATGTTGAGGGTAGCTGGATTGCCCCTGCTGAACTTGCACATAAGGGTGCGATGCCCCTCTTTGAAACTCCCTAGACCCCGAAGCCATCATGGACCCTTCATCTCTCTTTTTTCTATTTGCCAAACCTCCCAACCCATTTTGGATAGCTTGGGTGGTGGCTTTGAGAGCAGCTTGACTTACAATTCTACCAGTCTTGAGGCCATTTTCAACCATCTCCCCTATTTTGATTGCTTCTTCAAAAGGTCTACCCATCGCGGACATCATGTTCTGAAAGTAATCAGGCTCTTGAGCCTCCAGAAAAACAGTGATCAACTCGTAGTTATCCATGGGTGGCTTAACCCTAGCTGCTTGCTCCCTCCACTTGATGGCATACTCCCTAAAACTTTCGGTCGGCTTTTTCTTCATATTGGATAAAGAATCACGATCCGGCGCAATGTCAATGTTGTATTGAAATTGTTTGACGAAGGCCTGGGCCATGTCATCCCAAACATGCCAGTGAGAGATATCTTGGTCAATGAACCATTCGCAAGCTACCCCCACCAGGCTTTCCCCAAAGTAAGCCATCAACAGCTCTTCCTTTCCTCCTGCACCCCTCAGCTGGTTGCAGTACCTTTTCAAGTGAGCGACGGGGTCGCCGTGTCCATCATATTTCTCAAATTTCGGGGTCTTGAACCCTCGTGGCAAATGGATGTGGGGGAACATGCATAGATCACTGAATGAAACGCTTTTGTGACCGCCTAGTCCCTGTATATTCTTTATATTCTGTTCAAGACTTTTCATTTTCCTAGCCATCTCATCTGGCTCAACCCTCGTGGCAGGCTTCTCATTTTCCACTGGTGACTCGTATTGAGGAGTCTGATTGTATGGAGCCGAGACCCCAAAAGCCATATTTGGAGAATAGTATTGGCAATTATAAGCATGAGATGGTGGCTCATTGTTTGGCCTCGTCACAGGTGGTGGTGGCGGGATTGTATATGCCGGTGCGCCAGACACGACGAGAGGGGTGTTCCTAACCGGTGCGACTGGAGGTCGCATATTAGAGGTACCGGGGGCAGTATGGAGGCTGTAGTTTGGCACATACCCTGGCGGTAGAATGGGATCACTCGTTGCATGGAGCGGTGTTTGAGTAGCCTGGGGTATGGTGGAAGTTCCCTCTGAAGGACCCTGGGGTGGAGGACGACCGGAAACCCAAGCTTGATATACATCTGACAGTTGCTGTCTCAATTTTCTCATTTCCTCCGACTCTTGCTCAACGGACTGACCCTGCGTATTATCACCGACCAACTCGATTTTGTCACTATTATCCATTACCAACGCTCCTTTAGATCTTGTGAAGTAATGACACCTTATGCTTACTGGATTAAGAGGCAACAAATGTGTTAGGGTTAAGCATTTTACGGATAAGAATCACACCTAGATATGCTATGCTCCTAAAATATCACCATCTCTAATATGCTTTTGGAAGGCTTCATGTTTCATTCCGGCTTATCAGTTGTTACTTATTGACACTGCTATTTCCTCTTTTCTTTTTCTCTCTTCTCTTTTTTCTTTCTTCATTTCCTCCTTTAACTCGACTTATTTTGATCCCTTACTTTAGCGTCATTTGAAAAATAATTGATCGAACCTTTTGTGGGTTGCCTACGTATCATGTCGCCGCATGAATCAGATCATTACGTAGTTCAGGTACATGACCTTTTTTTTTTTTACAAAACAAACATCTTTTTTGGTTCATTTCCGAATTTTTCTTAAACAAAATCTTTTTCGTTGATTTTCAATATATAATAATAAATAAATTTTTTTTATACAAGACTCAAAAAGCAAGAATTACATAAAGATAAACAAGACCAGACCTGACTCAAACAGACTTCTTAGGATAAAAGGCAAAATAACAAGACTCAAAACACCAAAAGACTCTTTCAGACTCAAAAACAACAAAAAGATAATGAAAAAAGACTGATAACTAAAAGAAGACTTTGATCTTTGCAATAGAATCCACCAGCATCACTATAATCAAGGCGCTTGTTCCTGCGGCTGACCCCCAACATTGTGGTATATCCTCTCCAAGTCTGCAGATATATGACGAGCAACGTTCAAAGATACTTCTGCAAACCGCTCGGGCGTCATTCCCTGACAACTCATGCAAGCTCTTGAGGTATATGTGGCTACCTCGAGGATCTTTCCGTTAATGTATTCCTGAGCCACATGCAGCTCTTGATTTTGCTGACCACGAGTCTCAGCTAGATCCAGCGCATCACGCTCGCAGTCCAAGGCCATATCTTTCTGGCGCCGATTTTCTAGTAACTCCTCCTCCAACCGGTTGATCATACTCTGGTAGTGATGTCTTTCTATTTCAAACTCCGCGATCTGGCTCTCCTTGCTTGACTCAACTCCCCCTATCTGATCCCTCAAACCTTGGATTAACGGAGCAAAACCTCTACGCTCGTGATCACGGACTACCCTGAACTGGGCTTCTCTCTCTTCTTATTGCTGAGCGGTTGCGACTATGTTCTTCTTTTGAATTTGGGCTTTGAGTGCTTGCTTCTCTCATGCCCACTGAGCCTTTTCCCGCTCAAAATCAGCCTGTTGTATGTCCATGGCTGTCTCCAGAATTCCCTTATCTTCTTGTAAAGTGTCAATACAAGATTGGAACTCTTGTGCCACTTCCCTTCTGGTATCTCTAACTCTGGCCTCTATCTCCTCCTCCCAATCAACTGCATGCCGTATGGATCTTTCTGGCCTTTGCTCGGGGATAGCCTGGTTGTGAAACCACTCAAGGTATGCGAGGCTTACCTCCCCACGTTCACGATCAGTTACCATCTCGTCTATATCAGAAAATCGACCACCAAACCGAACCTTTTGTGCATAAGACTCCCTTGGAGGTTCCTCTCCCTTGAATTCCCACACGAACGGACGCATTTCCTCAATCGGGGGCCTCTTTTGCTCTCTCCCTAGCTGGCGCATGACGCGTAGGGGCGCGTAGGGTTGGAAACCTCTGAAACCCATGAGTATGAAGAACAAGCGATACGTTGACATATGCATGACCCTAGCAGAAGGGAACCAATAATAGTTCCAAGTGATTCTATCTGTATTCAATGAACAAAGTAATTTCCGCCAGGCCCTCACCCCATCTGGAAGATTACAACTTGCGGCCCTGCCTGGGTGACATCCAATGTAATTCAGCTAGTTTTCATTGAAATTTATTACCATTGGATGATGATAAAGGTGCTCTATGAACCACATCTGCAGCAGAATGTTGCATCCCTCGAAGTAATCTTCACCCTCTTGGCGTCGGGTCAAAGCTCGAAAAATATCTCCCAAAATCATGGGAAGAATGGTATGATCCTTGCTACTTTGCAAATACGAGACTATCGCAACCAATCGAATTCTGATGCGCCCACCATGCTCTGGAAAGACCATGATCCCTAGAAATGATATCATGAACGCGAAGATTCTCAACTCCCTCCAAGCGTCGTAACTCAACTGGTTGACGAATTCTATGCCCGAGAAATTTTCAAACCCTTTCTCGTCCCCGAACCTGTCATAGAGATATTCCAACGGAACCCAACCTTCGTTTAAGCAAACCATTGGGATTCGACGGAGGCATAATTTCTTTAAAAAATTGTTCACACCAACTTTTCTCGGAGCAGCAGGCTTTTTCCCACGAAGGTCTCTCCCCAATCCGGTGAACCCACCTAATTCTTCTAATGTGGGCGTCATTTCACATTCTTTGAACCTAAAGACATTGTTCGCGGGGTCCCAAAAACCCACTAGAGCCTCGATTAAATCTCTATTAGGCTTAATTCCCATGATGTTTGTGAGGAACTTGAGGTGCTTAAATACTCGATTTCGTTCCCATGTAGCAAAACTAGCCCACCAATTACAGAGACTGCTCGGGGTCTTATCTCTGATCAAGAACATTGGAGGTGTCTCGTCCCTTACCCTTTTCTGACTGCTTCTTTGTGGAGAACTCATGGTGATCCTGGATAAGATAAAAGGGGTTAGGACTTACCTAAACTATATGCAAATTATGACAATTCATTATTTTTATTTTATTTTATTTTATTTGTTTTTTTGGGCCAATTTAGGACTCGATCTATATATATTTTTTTAGTTTTTTACTTTGTTTTTTTTAATTACAAAATATATTTTGAAGTTACCGGACACAAAAGTTGATATGATAAAAGCGGAAAAAATGGCTATTATTACAAAGATGACCCTTTGATACTTCCATAGAAGGCATAAAAGATGTCTCAGAAATAACAGCCAAACACAGGAACAAAATGATAAAAATAGACAAAATAATAAATAAAAATTATTTTTACGAAAATGACCCTTTGTTACTTCGACGGGGGTTCCAAAGCTTTTTCAGAAAAAGAAACAAGACAAAACTAGAAAAAAATGGCTACTTTTGCAAAAACAGTCTTTGGGTACTTTCGGAAAGGTTTAAAGCTGCTTCGATAAAAATAGCCAGACATAAGGGCAAAATGATAAAAGGTGAATAAATATGGATAAAGTAACGATTTTTTTGGTACAAAAATGGCCCTTCAGCAGTTGACCGAAATAGGCTCTCTTTTTTTTGGAGAAAGTATCTAGACTGGCTTACTCGAGCGGACAACTCGAGCCGAGGAGGATGAGTGTACCGGTAGCATTGCTTTCCGGCTTAACTGGTGGTGCTCCCCGCCTAAAATATGTGTGACTAAAATCCTTCACCGGGTGACAAACACCTCGGCTATCTCAAAGAAAGCGGGCTATGTCAAGCAAATGCTCAATTTTAATTTCAAGAAGACTCAGAGGGGGTGCGTGAGAAGATAGTTTATATGCACAGTTCAAAAATATCAAAGCGGTAAAAAGCAAACAAGTAGCACATTATGTCCAAATAAATCACAGTATATACAAAATTAATAAAGCCAAATAAAAGTCAACATGTACAAGCTTGAATTCTGGCTGTTCCCCAGCGGAGTCGCCAGAGCTGTCACACCCCTTTTTTTACCCCCAAAAATAATATGTGTATGGGTTTGTGGGTTAAAGAGTTTTTCCAATTAAAGTGACAAATTTGAGTGGAGATTATTTTATTTACAGAGTCGCCACTTGGAATTGGTTTTCGGTGTTCCAAGTCACCTTTTATTTGAATCCCTAGTCAAAAGAAAGTTTGACTCTATTTTTATCGGTCCGCGAAAATAAAGTTCGAGTAAGGAATTTTGTTGACCGGGGAGAAGGTATAAGGCATTCCCCGAGTCCCGTGGTTCTAGCACGGTCGCTTTATTGNAAAGCGAATGTGCGACCAAAATGAATTTTATAATTTTGCGTAACATCGCTACGCAAGCGTATCCGCAGTTATGACAAAGGATTATTAGCACGCTATTATTTTCAAAAAAAATTACTATATTTGTGCTTTTACAGAAAAATTAGTTTATTTAAAAGGTTACTATCGCTATTAAAAAAGTTACTATTGCGCTACGCAAGCGAAATCCGCGAGTATGGTGAAAGGATTAGAAATTTAACTAAAACTATAGATATAGTATGAGATTAGTGAATTAAATTATTGAATGTTAAATATCACGCCACGCAAGCGAATCCGTGAATGAAAAAATTTAAGCGTGCCTACTAATTGCCTAGCGCTTTAACTAATAAGAAAGAAAATGTGTTAATTAATTAGTAACAGAAATTTGATTTTATTATTATCTTCTAGCCTTATGGTTGGTAAAATTATGCAAATAAATGTTGGACCAGCTCAATCTATTTTAATGAAATAGGCCAACTTCTTGTTAAAAAGGAGAAATAGGCCAGCTTATGGATTTTAGAAGATGGGCCAGCTATTTATTTATTTCTTAAAAGAGAAAAAAAAATGGGCCACCTAGCTTAGTTTTGCATTGGGCCTAAAGAATTGAGTTTTTGGCTCAACTTCTTTGTTTGCTGAAACATTCAGCCCTTTCCCACACCCCTTTATCTTTTATTCAGTTTTATTTATTATTTGACTCCTAATTAGTTTACTGATTTATGCTCACTCATCACAATGACTAAAGGTACAATAACAACATAAACACTTAATAAAAATAAATAATAAAAGGAACTACATATGAAATAAACTTTCTTATATATATATATATATATATATTCCTGGAATGAAAATATTGTTAACATACACTTCTTTCAACTTTCAATATAACAAACTTACTTCAAACACCAATTCTAAGAAAAAGATAAATTAAACTAACATTACTTTATTGCGTCTTGTAGCCAAGTAGACATATTTCAGAATTCAAACCACATGTCGAAATTGAAAACTAAAGCATTTCTTGACATAGCCA